ACTTGAAGGGCTGATTATCACAGACTCATAAAAAGGCTTGGGTTAGAAGGAACCTTAGAGATCATCCTGTTCCAACCCTCTGCCTTCAGCCACACACTCCCACTCCTCTCCCCAGTGGAGCATGTGACCTGCTAGTTTGAGATAACCTGTGCTTATACTGTTCTGTGGATTTCATGGGTCCATAAAAAAGACTTCTCACCATGACCTGCTCTGTTTTTTTCAAAGGTTTTGCATAGAACCTTGTACATTGACAGATAAAAGTGAAACTAGAGTAAGTTACTTACTCCTAAAATACTTTTTTTTCCCCTCCCAGAAAAGGAGCAAATCGATACCTGACTGTAAGGAAGAAGGATGTATCAGAACTAGACCATAGTGGGCTTTATGACTTGGCTCTTCATACAAAGTATGCTGTATGGAGTTTAATTCAGTTTTCCTGTCACAAATAAAGAATACACGATACTTTTGCCAAAGATGGAGTGAGGAAATGCATGTGCTGTTGAATCTGGTATGTTCAGTGTGTCTTCTGATATGGACTTGTCAACCAACACCATTTGAAATAAAACAGCCTACAATCCAAGTAACAAAACAAACCCCTTTCTGTTCTGTCTCCTACCCTGTCCTGATTGACACCCTTCCCTCCAAACAAATACATTAATTTTCTAGATTTCATATAAGTTGTGTGGGGTGAGATTGAAGAGACAGCTGTCCTGTGTAAGAACACCCTCATAAGGAAATGAGGCTGGCTGTTCTGCTTGTAGAAATTAACATTCTTGATAAAGCAAGAGGTTTATTTTTTGTTTTTTTCACCTCATAAAATAGATTTTAAAAATTTTAAAATAGAGAGTAGTCTCTTCCTAAGACACTTCTTGATTTCAAAAATGCAAAAGAGTTCACTGGAAGATAAACTTCTGATACAATATTTGTTTTGTTTTTTTTAAAAAAAACCAATGCTTTTAATAAAATTATTGCTTTAACAGTTATGAGTGTAAGAGTTATGTTGTGTTTCTGTGTGCAAGCTGGGTGTAGTGGACAGAAAATACTTGTACCAGTATGGCTTGTTTTGTTGAGTGTATCTGATTCATGATGTGCCTGCTTTAAGTGCTTACTTTGCTATTTTTTTCCAGCTGTTTCACTGTTTAATAGGATTTTTAAATGAACAGAGGAAAGCTATAACAAAAGTACTGAAACACAATTCCTTAGGTATATAAGGCATAAACTAAGGAGTAGAGTAAAATTTATCTTTGCTTCTCAAGAATGTATTTTTTGTTCTCCTAATCTATTAGTCTGTGTTTGGCTTGGTAAGATAGAGCTTATAAGTTAGTGTATCAATCACATTAAAAATGTATAATTGAATTTACAGCAAGCTTTCCATTCTTCTGGAAAATAATGATTAAGGAAGTATAGAATAGCATTTGCAATGCTGAATGTGAAGTAGTCTCCTTAGAAGATGTGCAGATTCTTTGGCTACTTATGCATTGCTCTCCAACACATCCCACTGTGCTGCATGGGTCCAGAGCTCTAGATATAGCACAGGTCAATTGGTGTGATTTAACAACAAATCTTGGACAAGACCATTATGTTATGTAAGACTGATTGAAAGGAGGACATGAAAGACCAGGGAGGATGTGAAAGAAGGCATATGAATCACATTAAAGTTACTTCTTTTTTGTCAGACTACATACTTGGTTTAAACTATATAGTGGATATTTCTGGGCAAACTGCTCAGATGTGAATGTGTACACAGATACAAATGCCAAGAAAATACACCAGCCTGCTTTTGCTTAATTTCTATTTCCCTTTTTTCTACTTGTAACCTTTTTTGACTGAGATCAATGCACTGGGATAGTCTGCTTTTGTTCGAAGTGTCTATGAAAGGGGTACCTCCTTTGAAAAATATTTATTTCAACCCCCGTAACAGGACACGTTGCTATGAATATGAGTTCTGAGTGTGTGATGGGCTTGTCAGTTTACCGACAGGGATGAACATAAAGTCAGGAATGTTAATTTTGAAGTACAATTTTTAAGCAGTGTTTTAGTGTTCTTCTGTTGTGTGTTTGTAACTTGCTCCTCACAGAAAACAAAGAAATGAACAAGACAAGTGGACGACTTAATGACGGTATGCCCCAGGATCCAGTGGAAAGAGGGGAATCAGAGTTTGATTCCTTCAGGCAATCACTACTGGTTTTTGAAAAACAGGAGGAAATTGTGAAAATGGTAGAGAACAATAAAATTGTTTTGATTATTGGAGAGACTTGATTGGGAAAAACTGCTCAAGTATGTTTCTTTAGTGAAATAAAAAAGATATCAGTATTTATATAAAACTAATGCCAATTTTGTAACATTTGTGATAAGCAATTACTTTCTGTTAGTTTTAAGGCTTTTGTTTTTCTGTGTGGTTGAAAATCATGTGTTCCAATTCGCTTTCTTGCTTTTGAAATTCTAAATCCCCAGAAAAGCATAAATGATTCTGCAGAATTTTCTGATAGGTTTCATTTTTTCATTAAAATAAAATAAAATATTGACGGGAAAGTAGCTATGATTTTTCTATAATCCTTTTGCTTCTAAAGCTAGTTCTGCTCTTAGCATCCAGAATTGTATATATTGTGTTAAAATGAAAGATTATCTTCAGGGCTTTTTCTTACAGATTTCTCTGAAGCAGGAGACAGATGCTTCAAGTTTGTTTTTTTGTTTAAAACATATCGTACCTGAAATCTCTTTTTAAAGAAAAAGAAAATAAAAGAAATTTATTTAAATTAAATAAATTTATTTTTTGCTGCCTTTATGTCCCTTCACTTACATTTGCAGTCATATGCTAGTGAGAAACCTTTTGCAACCTTTGTAATATTGAGATGCATTTAAATTGTTTCACTGTGGTAAAAAAAGCTATGACTGTCTCAAAAAAAAAGTGAATTTGAACCAGTTCTTCACAGATCACTCACTTTCTTCTTGACAATTATTACAACAATGGAACTCTGTGTCATGTATTTTGCACTCAGCCAAGATGTTTGGTAGCCCTTGCTGTGGCTGAAAGAGTGGCAGCAGAAAGAAGGGAACAAATTGGCCAGACAATTGGTTATCAGATCTGAGTGGAAAGCAGCTAGTAGTGATATTTCTTACAGTCAATTGACTGTGTGTTGGTATCTTTAGTCTTCTATATATTTAAACTATAATATATTTGGGATGCAGCCTAGTCAAATCTCCATGTGTAAAGTATAGTTAGGACGTGTAATTGCAGGTAATGAATATTTAGGGGTGAAAAGGACAGTTTCCCTCCTCTATTTTGTTGTTTCATGTATTAAGTTGTCTTCTGGAAATGAATTACAAGTGCTTTCTCTTGATTTCTTCCAGGCAGTGTGTGTGTGGAAATCCTTGTCTTATTTTCAGATCATAGAATCATAGAACCATAGAATCAGCCAGGTTGGAAAGACCTCTGAAATCATCAAGTCCAACCCTTGATCCACTGTGGTGGTTTGGGCTAGGCCTTCCTTGGTGACCAGTTTGTAACCAAGGAAGGGTCCAGATTTACCCAGTATTCCCCATGATTTTTACGTAAACCAGACTATAAGAAGAAAGGAGGAGAGGCCTTCGCTCTCTTTCCTTCCGGCGGCTTGGAGGTGCAGGTTCCCTGCTGTTGAGTCTGCCGTGTTGGGGAGCGAGGCCTGGTAAGGCCTTGTCGACCTTGGGAGGCGGAGGTTGCCGGCGATCGTCCCGGAGCGACTTTCGGTTGTCCCAAGGAGAGTGGTGGGATATTTCTTTGCTAACTCTTTAGTTACTAGATCTCGGGCTACGGATTGGGATATATATATTTTTTTTTTTTATTTTGGTTTTGTTCCCTTTCCCTTCCCCCTTCCCCTTCCCTTGTGAAATTGTATATATTTTAAATTGTATATATTTCAATTGTAACATAAGTGTAAATATATTTATATTTATCACTTTAGCTGTCTCTCTCTCGTTTCGGGTTTTCTTAGTTGGTTGTTTTTCTCCCTCTTCTCCCTGAGGTTTTGGGGGGGGGACACTTCTGGTGGTAAGGTTTGGAGACTTGGCAGGGAGCCAGCTTCAAACCATATCATCCACTACCACCGTGGTTACTAGACCATGGTACTAAGTGCCAAATCCAGTCTCATCTTAAAAACCTCCAGGGATGGAGAATCCACCACTTCCCTGGGCAGCCCATTCCAATGCCTGATTACCCTCTCTGGAAAGAATTTCTCCCTAATATCCAACCTAAACATCCCCTGGCAGAGCTTAAGACCATGCCCTCTTGTCTTGCTGATAGTTGCCTGGGAGAAGAGACCAACGCTCACCTGGCTACAACCTGCTTTCAGGGAGTTATAGAGAGTGATGAGGTCACCCCTGAGCCTTCTCTTCTCCAGGCTGAGCAACCCCAGCTCCCTCAGCCTCTCCCTATAGGACTTGTGCTCGAGTCCCTTCACCAGCCTTGTTGCTCTTCTCTGGACCTGCTCCAGGACCTCAATATCCTTCCTGAACTGAGGGGCCCAGAACTGGACACAGCACTCCAGGTGTGGCCTCACCAGCACTGAGGGCAAGAATCACTTCCCTGGTCCTGTTGGCCACACTGTTCCTGATACAGGCCTGATCAAGCCTACACTTTCCTCTCTTTTTTTTTTTTTTTTTGTTTTCCTCCCTACTTTTAATGTGTGGATCCAAAAGTTTGCAAGCTTTGAAGGTGGCAGCAAGACTGGCATGCTGTAAGAAATGGTATATAGTGAGAGTTGATAGGGGACATAAAAGGGAAAACAAAATTGGGAAGTGCATGATGAAGCGTTATTTACCAATCCAATTTTAGGTTAAATTTACTCTGTTTCATCTTTTGTATTTAAAGCATGAAGAGATCTAAAAGTAGAGATTTCTGTATCATTTGATGAATTTGTTCCTAAAGTAGAGCAGGAATGGATGAAAGTTTGAAGATTGTGTGGAGTTTGGACATTCTTTGAACTGTGTAACTAGTGGGATTTCCAGGAAGGGGCAGCACTTAGGATATGAGCGAGAAGAAGAAGGCAAAGGCGATAGCATGGAATGCACTTGAACAACAACGGTAAGAATTTGAATATGCATATGAAAACTCTCAAGGAAGGCCATTAAGGATTAAAAGAGTTGGCAAAGATGTATCACAAATAAGGTGGATGATTAATGTGTGGAAGTATTATGCTGGCAAAAGAAGAGCAAAGTGTAAGTCAGATGAGAATGGAAGAAATACTGGAAGCAGCACAGAAAATCCAGCTTAAGAAGAATCAACAAATATACTCCAGAGAAAGACTAAAAGGGAGAGATGAAAATATGTCCAGTTCTGGGCAAGAAAGATCAAGAGTGGAGATGTTTAGAGGTGCTTGAAGTAACACAGAAGTCTAATTTTTAAAGTTTTATTAACTGTTAGACCATAACAACCATTTCTAGGTGACTGTTGGAGAAGGAGAAGGGTGGAGGTGGGTAAAGTAGAGCATTTGTACCTTGTGCAATTTGGGTATGGACAGGCACCTGAAGAAGGTCTGTAGTTTGTACTCAGCTTAGGAAATGTGATTTTGGAACCCAAATATCTGTCTTTAAAATCTTCCTTTTCTTTCTTAAATAAAGAGCTGTTTCTGAAATGCTATATAGCATAAACAGTTTTGTAAAATGTATTTCAAAACTGTGGTTCTGAAAGGCTACAGAAAATACATAAACCTGTACTAATCACCTATATTTTTAATGCAGTCCCTGGAAAATTATCTTAGTCTTATCCTTATCTTGTAATGCTAGGCTGGTCCTCTCCAAATGAAGAGCAAGAGCAGAAGTGCATGCCTAGATGCTTCCACGGAGAAGCCAGGCTTATGGGGAGCTTGGAGGCAGAAATCAGCTAATGAATATGAGATGGGTGAGGAGCAGACCCTATGGAAAACTTTGAAGGCTGAGTGATATCTGTTGCTGTGGCAGAGAGAAGGCTCGGAGGAGCAAAGCAGAGAGTCAGGGGGCTGAAGCTGCAGAGGTCAGAGGTCATTTAGATGCTCATCTGAACCCTTTTATTTCCATTTCTTAATGTAAAATGAGTAAGATGGCAGCTTACATATGGACAAGGAAGAAGCACTGTAACCCAAGAAAGAAGAAACATTTCCAAATCCCAGTCTGGGAAAGTAAACGGTTGGAAACAGTTCCCACACCTCTGTCCAGGGATGTGCATTCCCGCCATCAGCCACCATGCACAAGATGGGGGCCAGGGCTACCGCCATGCATAACATGGTGGCTGGGGCAAGATGGGCCTTGGAGGAGCACAGGGTGGGCAGAGGCCCCACTTTCAGTCACCATTAATAGACAACTGGTGAAATAATCCAGTATTGCATCTTTGTTCTGTGCATATCAAGATACACAAGCCAGATGGTAACGTTGGCTGTCAGTTCTTTAGTCTGATGTTAAGTTAATTGAAATAGGTGGAAACAAGAAGAAACTCCCTTTGAAAATTAGATCAAACCAACAAAGGGCCAAAAGCATTTCCTGTACAGATGGACTTTCTTTAACTCAAAGAGGCATCACAGCAGATCTCTTTCAGGCAGGAGTCATAGTGACTGCAAGGTGATTCAGAAAGAGATGTACTTGGAGCAGATCATACAATGATTGCTCATCTAAGTCGTGTATTCTGAAGTCTATGTCTTTGTTTTAGGTCATTATGAAGACTATGTAGAACTGGGGAAAAAAACCCAACAAAATTCCAGCAGAAAGTCCACTCCAATTATGTTGTTCTTAATGAGATTCTTCAGGTTGAGCACAGTCTTTCTGTTCAGCAACATGCAGACTCTTAGGCAAGAGGAAGGTAAGCTCACAAACCACTGAGGATAAACAGTCACTGAGAAGAACCAGTTGGTGAAAAAGGAAAGAAATGTGAGAGGGAAAAGGGCAGAAAACATGAGGGGACAGTGCAGAAACATGAGGGGAAAAGGGAGAAAAATGTGAAGGGAAAAAGGGCAGGAAACACGAGTGAAAAAAGGAAGAGAAATATGAGGAGAGAAATGTGAGAAATATGAGGGGGAAAATGAGAAATGTGAGTGGGAAAGGGGCAGGAAACTTGAGTGAAAAAGGAGATTGAAACCTGAGGAGATAAAAGGACAGGAAAAGTGAGGGGGAAAGTGTGAGAAACGTGAGGGGGAAAAGGGCAGGAAATTTGAGTGAAAAAAAGTGGGGAACATGAGGGGATAAAAGGGCAGGATAAAAGGGGAAAGTGTGAGAAACATGAGAGGAAAACGGTGAGAAATGTGAGTGAAAAAAGGAGAGAAACATGATGGGATAAAAAGATGGGAAAATTGAGAGGAAAAGTGTGAGAAACGTGAGAGGAGAAGTTTGGGAAACATGAGGGGAGGAAAAGGCGAGGATATGGCAGAGGGGAAACATGAGGGGAAAAGAGTAGGAAATGTGAGGGGAAAGGAGGGAGGAACATGAGGGAAAAAGGGCAAGAAACAGTGAAAAATGGGCAGGCAATATGAGAGGAGAAAAAGGCCAGGAAAAACATGACAGAAAAGGGTGGAAAACAAGAGGAGAAAAGTGAGAGAAATGTGAGGAGAGAAGAATAGGAAACATGAGGGGAAACTGGAAACACGAGGAGAAAAGTGTGAGAAGTGTGAGGGGCAAAATGGGCAGGAAACCTGAGTGAAGAAGGGCAGCAAATGTGAGGGGAAAAGTGTAAGAAATGTGAGGAGGAAAATGGCAAGAAAATTACAGGGAAAAGGACAGGAAATGAGAGTGAAAAAACAGCAGGAAAAGTGAGGGGAAAAGGGCAGGAAACATAGTGGGGATAAGGGCAGAGAAAGCCCATCCAGGGCTCAAGGGGAAGAAAAACAAGCTGCAATTCTGCCTTCAAAATCCACATATCATACGATGTGGCACCTGCAAATCACCACACAATGTCATGTTCAGAATGCCGAGTGATGCAATGCATCTTGTGCCGGTGCCACCGGCTCCGCCTCCAGCTTTTGCATTTGCTGGTGCTCCAACACCACCCCTGAACACCCCCAGCATTCAGCAACAGTCCTGAAACCACTCAGCTCCCAATAGCCAGCCCGGAACTCCCTCAGCCCTGAGCACACAGTGCAGGACTGCTCCCCCCAGCACCCAGCCCTGGGGTCTTGGCCACTCCACAGAATCCTCACCCCTTTGAGAACCCTGAGGCACTACAACACCTTGATCCCACCCAGCACCTGGACCCAGAGCATCCTCAGCCCACATCACCCTCACTGGCATGTGGGGCTGTGGGGAGAGGACAGTGAGTGGCGGGAGGTGGCCTCTGCATCACCCGTGTCCCCTACAGGTGCCCCCAGCTGAGCTTGCAGGGGCCTTGGAACTTACGACTTTCTAGGACAGCCAAGGTGCTCCCAAACTGCTGCCCATAGACCCTCCTGTGCCCTTATCCCCCTGGCCGCCACCTGGACTGATTCCAGGGTACCACCCATTTTGACATCCTCCCTTCCCAGGGGTCCCTGATACCTGCAGCCATCTGCAAGGAAGAGTAGAGGGATGTAGAGCTGGGGATGGGGCACCTCTGGGGCTGGGACATCACCTGCCCCTACTCTCACCTGCTCATTTTTTCAGTCCTTATAGCTTACCTCCAGCACAGCCAATTCTCTCAGGTACTGGATATCTTTCTCCATGGCATTCCACCTGCTTGGTCACATTACTAGATCATCCTTGAGATAATAGCTTTCCCTCACACTTGAGGTGAGTCACCTCCAGAGGCTGAGAGTTTCTGTCCTCTTCCCAATTCCCTTGTGTGGTGGGTTGACCTTGGCTGGACACCAGATGCCCACCAAGCCACTCTATCACTCTCTTTCCCAGTTGGGCAGGGGAGAGAATAAGGTGGAAAAACAACTCGTGGGTTGGGATAAGGTAGTTTATTTAAAGTGAAAGCAAAGCGGAAGCTTGAGCATGCAAAAGCAAAGCAAAAGATAGCAGGGTTTATTCTCTACTTCCCATGAGCAGCGATGTCCAGCCACTCCTGAGATACAGGGCTTCAGCATGTGTAATGGTTCCTCAGCAGACAGCCAATTGGAGACAATGAATGCCTTCCTGATCCTTGCCTCAGCTTTTGTATCTGAGCTGACATCATGCAGTATGGAATATCTCTTTGGTCAGTTTGGGTCAGCTGGCCTACTTGTGTCCCCTCCCAGGATCCTGCCCTCAGTTGAGGAAGGAATGTTACAGTGCTGATGCTGTGCTCAGCAGTAGTCAAAACATTGGTGTGTTATCAACACCCTTCTAACTATTAATGCAAAGCACAGCACTGTGAGGGCTACTGTGGGGAAATGAACTCCAGCTCAGCCAGCCCCAATACACCCTGTTAATGCCCACATCCTGGGAACAGGGATCCCACTTGCTTGGCTTCAGTACCATCTAGTTTCATATCGTTGGCCATGATATCCCAGCATGGGAACAGCCAGGTCACAAGGGCCTCACCCAACTGGTGGCTGAAATCTTTTCGCATATCTCAGAGCTGCACACGCACCATGATTTGGTTTCCAGGATCCTCCACAGAGCTCTCTCTGCATTCCCCTTTTATTAACCTCTTTGTGTAAACAGTACCTAGTGTTGCCATTCAATTAATTAGAATTTCCAGGACTTTTTGCAAACTCAGTGTTTTGATTCACACGCTCCTTCTCAGCTCCAAGGCCTAAATATTCCCTTCTGATTCTAATTAACTGAATGCAGGTGCTGCTGGATTAACTTGTTCCTACGCTATTCTAGGGATAATTCATTGTATCAACTAACTCTTACTAACTGGCATAATGTCATGGTGTGTACCTCTCACCCATATGCCTTCTTGGCCACACCTGACCTTGTGATTAGTGGTACTAACAATACTTTTAATATTACCGTAAATGATCTGTATTATTTTAGCTGTATCACTACCCCTAGCTGGGCTCAGAGGGTGGTGGAGGTGAGGGATTTGGGGTGTATGATGGAAAAATCTCTCCACACCAAACAGGAGTAAACTAGCCCTCTCCAGAAAGACCACATACACACAGGACATTCACATGAAAGGCAGCTGAGAAGGGGTCATAAACCATCAAAGACCCACAAAGAGCCCCCCAGACTCATTCCTAAGACCTTTTACCACCAGAGATACTGCACATGATACAAGTGATACAATAACATACTTAACCTCTGTTACTCTTGTTCTCCCCCCTCCTTCTATTATTTCCTATTTCTTTATATCTCTCTCTTTCTGCCTTACACTTACTGTTAAATAAAATCCATATTATTGACTTTGGCATATGGTCTCACTTGTACCTTAATTTGGGCAGAGGCTTTTATAATAATTTTAAAAACTGAATCATAACAAGCTCTATTATTTTTATTTTTTTTTTAACTGAGAAAGGAAACCACAGGTGTTTTTTCCAGCCACGTGCTGTTAGCACTAAGGAATGAATTTTCATGATGGAGAAAAAAGTGTTTTCAAAGTGAGAGGAGGGGGAAGGAATGTGCTTGAAGTTGCAGGCAAAAAAGTTAACGGAGCAGTTCTACTTTCATAGCAAGAGCTATAGAGGTTTTTTTCTTCTTGAGTCTTTGTAGGATGACAAATCTCTCTCTTTTTCTCTCAATGTTTCTGTTCCTTTTGTTTTGAACTAGGTAAACTCTTTCTTTTTTCCCCTCTCTTTCATGAACTTCTCCCCTGTTTTGTAAGTTACATTCGTTCCGCTTACTTCGACATATGGTTCTTAATTCCCTAGAGAGATCTTCTCTGGCTCTCATTTTCCATCTTGGTCCTTGCTGACCACCTACTGAATGGTCATGTTTTTTATAAATCATTAGAATAAAAGGAGGGTTAATTTCCATGGTGCTTCCTTTATCCTCTTAAAATACAATGAGATGCCATGAAAATGCATTGAAATGAGTTTCTGTTTCTAGCAACACTTTTTGTATTTGCAGGAAGGTAGCAAGTGCTATAAGCACTGGAGTTCCAAGAGCGTTGGCACTGGGAGACTTGAGTAATTCAAGCAAGGAAGATAACATGTGGCATAAGAAAATCAATGACGGACTTCTCATGCTACTACTAACCAGTTACCAGTTAAAATCAGTTAACATACAGAGGACCATTTGAAAAAGAAAAAAAAAATCAGAAAAGACATAATAAAAAAAAAAAATCTTTCCTGAAGGTCAGAGCGGTTGATGAATTTGCACAGTTTACTTGCCTCCAAGTTACTGGAACATGAGCTCTCAATGTGTGGTAGCTTTTGGAGAGATATGGAGAGTGTAAAGAGGTGTGGAGAGAAGATACCATGTTGCCCTCAGACTTGGCAAGAGGCTTCTGGAGATAATTTGTAGACGTGACATGAGGAAGAAATAAAAAAGAAAGCTTAAATGGTATTTCAGTGCAAATTCTTGAAATCATTGATTCCTGACAGAAGTCCAGTAGGGAATGCAATTATGAACCAAACTTAGCCTTTGCCTCAGCCTGTTAAATTAATGCCTTATCTGTCATGTGGCCAATGGGTGCATATACCTTCAGAGTTTGGAAATAATACACATTATGTAAATTACAATAATAGATTTTAGTAAGTCTGGTGCAGGTATTCCTTTTTTCCCTGTCTCTCCCTGCTGTTTTGACCATGTGTTGTGCATGTTTCCAGTGAGGATAACGTTACATGGAGGCAAAAAGAAACTGGATGTTCTAGTGTGGGGTTATTTAATTATTTTTAAGAGTTTGTTTTGAAATTGCTTTCTTTGAGCGTTGGTAATTGTGGGGGTTTTCTTTGTTGGATTTTGAAAAGATGACAACTGATCTTTCTGTTCCCTGTACTGCTTTGATCCAGTCCAAGTGTTGCATCATTTCCATAGTCTGCAGGTCTGAGAACAGCTCTCAAAGTCCTGTCCAAAGCATGGACACAACCTCCTAGTTCTCAGCATTTTTTTCTCCCAGCTCCCACATTTCTCTGCGTCAAAATGCCAGTTCCTTTTTCTATCCATAGGATCTTTCAACTCTGGGCAACTTCTGATGTTTAGATATACATAATTTTTTTTCTTTTCTTCTTTTTCTCTTTTTTTTTTTTTCCTTTTTTCTTAGTAAGCTTGACCATGTTCCCAATTTATTGGTCCTTAGTGTTTCTGCTGTAGTGGTACTCAGTAGGGTAAGGAAAGAAGCACTGGCAGCACCTGGTCCATTCTGTGGGAAAGCTGCTGTTCACATTAGGTATTGCATGTTTGGTTTGAATAAGGAAGGAAGAAGCCTATATTTGAAAGATGAGACCCCAGCACATTAATACTCTGGCTGATCAATGCAATCCACTGCAGAGCCACTTGAGTGGGACACCGTACGATTATTTCAAATGCCCCATGTATTTGCAAGCATATGTATTCATGGGAATTCAGTTGTTAGGATCTTCAGATCTTAGGGGGTATTTTCTTTGAACTAATTTGCTGAACTGACAAAACAGACTGTAGCATATAATTTGAAGAATTAAAAGCTAGTAGCTGACAAATTTAAGATTAAGAATGGCTTTTATAGAAAAAGGTATCCGATGTTTGGTGGTGATGATACGTGGTAGAGCCACTCAAAAATGCTAACATGGCCTCAAAAGGACTAGACAAAGAGCAAAAGCCCTCTCTATTCTTTTTATGTGGTTTTTTTTTTATTGTTGTTGTTTTTTTGTTGTTGTTTTGTTGTTGTTGGTTTGGTTTGGGGGTTTTTGTGGGTTTTGTTTTGTTTTGTTTTTTTTAACTGACAAAGACACCACAGGTGATTTTCCCAGCCACTTGCTGTTAATGCTCAGGAATGTGTTTTCATGAAGGAGAAAAAAGGTGGTTTCAAAGTGAGAGGAGAGGGAAGGATGCTACCAAACTTTGGAATGGCTATGGCTTTTCTGTTTTCCTGACCCTGCTGTCCTGATGCCGGTGGCTCTGAGCCAGATCTCTGTGGCTCAGCCATGTGCCCAGGGAAGCTCCCAGAGGGAAGTCACAGGACTCAGATGCTTCTTTGAGATGCCATAGCACTGCAGCAGCACAGTGATGTGTGTGAGCAGGTCTGTAAATGGAACAAGCATGCCCATTTTTAGTTGGAAGCATTAGTGGCCAAAGGTGATGTTTCCTTTGGTTTGGTCACATCCCAGTTTCTTCTCAGTGTTCATCCTGGGGTACAGGGTGCATGTGCCTGGTGCATTGTTTGACTTACTCTTCGATACTTTCAGAAACAGGTTATGGAGTACGAGGAGCTTTGTGCTGCTTTGAGACAGGAGAACTTTCCAGGCCATTTTTGTGTTTGCTGTAGAGAAGGTTTGGTTGCTATGCATAAATTCATGAACCAACCTCGAGAAGCTGCTATTGTGATGTCAAGGCGATGTTGCTATGTCCTTGTGGTGTCAAAGGCATGTTGCTCTGGTGCCCAGAAGGCCTCAGTGTCTGAGCAGCTCTGGTGCTAGCTCATTGCAAGCAAACTCTGCTGCTTGAGGCGTTTTGAGTGGATGGTGAAACCCCAACTGGGTATAATTTTCTTTAGGTTTTCTCAGCGGACAGTGAAAAACCATCAGGAGTGTCCTTTCTTTTCCCTTTTTTCAGCGGTGAGCTGAAACCCCAACAGGGGTGTCTTTTATTTTCCCTTTTCTCAGCGGTGAGCTGAAACCCCAACAGGGGTGTCTTTTATTTTCCATTTTCTCAGCGGTGAGCTGAAACCCCAACAGGGGTGTCTTTTAGTTTCCATTTTCTCAGCGGTGAGCTGAAACCCCAACAGGGGTGTCTTTTAGTTTCCCTTATCTCAGTGGACAGTTGAACCCCAAGGGGTGTCTTTTTTTTTTTCCCCTTGGTGGAATACAGTCCGCAAACTTGTGCAGGACTGCTAAATCATGGAGCCATTCTCTGCTGCAGTTTGCAGTGTTTTCACTGTGGCTTATTCAGGATATTATTTGACCAATCTGGCACGTAAGTACAGGCTTTTCCTGGGTGGAGCAAAATATGGCTTTGGTATCACTGTGTCCTTTCTGCTCTTCATGAGTGACTGAGTTGATTTGAAACAAAAATGCCATTAACATGCCACTAGTTTGGTAAAACTCCTGTCAAGAGCTTCAGCTCCAAAAGGGAATGTCTGTACCCAGTGGGGTGCAGACAGCATTTGAAATGTAACCTGAAGGGGTTCCATTCCCTCCACTGGATAGTGTGTGGCAGTGGAGTCTGTAATTTCTTCAGTTGGCTGTTCAACCAAGACAACTTCTAAAACACAGACTGGGAGAGCTTGTCAGCCAGGAGAGCTTTTTTTCTCAATTCCGTCATTAAAGGATTTGGCTTTCTAACTTGACACTTTGCTGGGTGCTAAACTAGTGACTCCCTTTGCCATGAAGTGCCAACTCCAAAACAGTTGGTGTACACTCCTGAACCCAGGAGCTGTTCCCGTACTATTTCAGAACAGAACTGCCATGATTAAAGGGGATTTTGTGGAAGCTTTCCTGGAGAAATGTTTTCAGCAAGTCAATGGGAATTAGTGCATGCAATTTATTAGAAAAAGTAAAGTACAGGAAAGAGAGGAGAAAAAAGCTGCTTTAGCTGTTGGATGGAACAGACGCACCAGTTGTTAAAGAACATTTGCATTTTCTTGACCAAATTGCTGTTCTATATATACAGACCAAACAGGTCAGTACATAAACAGGGCAACATGTAGGCACAACCTAGCCTATTGTCCTGTCTTCTTGCTTGCTATGCGAGAGAACTGTTTATCCTGGAGGGGTCTTGTGAAAGGTACATGCTCTCCGTTGACTTGTTCTGTCACCACAGGCAGTTTTCTAACAGCATGTGGTTCATTTTCCCTTGCCCGCTGCAGGTCACCTGATCCATGGATGGAGAGAGGTGCATCCTTTGGTGAGCGCAAAAGGAACCTCTGACGTTCCTGGTGTTTAAGAATTGTGGAGCAAGCTGCAAGCTTGGCCTGTTGCAGTAGAGTGTAGAGTGTCAGCCTGGTAGGCTGAAAGAAAATCCATTTCAGTGTCTGCTGCAGCAGCAGCAGCAGCAGCAGGAAAGGGGGCGCTGGCTATTTTCTAATTCTCTGTCTAAGAACTCTTCAAGAGAGAAAAGCTAGCTTTGCAGAAAGAAGGTTGCTGGCTGATTCTAGCCAGGGTGGAGTATCACATTCAGAACAATATGCAGTGCCATCTCATTAGCCCATTTTGGTTTAGTTCTAATGACTTAGAATTCCATTTCTGTCAAAGTTTATGAGCTCTTTGTACAGCTGGGTATAGAGCTGAATAGAAATCAGGTTTTAAATGGTAGGTTACTCCCTGTCCCTCATGCTGCTGTCTGTTCACAGAGCACAAAACAACCAGCACCTCCTCTGGCTCCCTCTGGTCCTGAGGAAGAAGCTAGAGTGGAGGAAAATGACGGCAAATGTACAGCTGTTGTCACACCACTGCCTGAACAGCCCAAAACAGTAAGTGCCAGCTTTGGTTGGCACAGTCCTTGGTGCAATGCAGAGCTGCAAGTTCCTGGTCAGACAGCATTTGCCGGTCATGGCTGAAGATACTGAAGGCTGGAGTCGTGCCATGACATAACGCTTCACCCCAGCCACTGACACCTGGAAGAAGGGTTTTGAACTTTCACCTTTGGGCATCAGATTCTTGGGATTCAGAGAGGGGACATGAATCTCTCTTTGTATCAGATCAGAAGTAGTGTTTCGTTTGTAAATGCTACCAGTGTAAAAGTGAGCAGCTCTGTGCACAGTGTGCAGGGTCCCCGTCACCAGCAGAGAAAGCGGTCGAAAGACCAGCCTTGCAGGATGCATAGGAGACAGTGTCCCCTGGAGAGACTGAGTATCTGTGGAGCTGAACGAACAGCTCAGACACAGCTGGGTATAGGGCTGGGTATATAAATGAGGTCATAAGTGACAGGTTACTCCCTGTCCCTTATGCTACTGTCTATCCACAGAAAAAAGAAGCATCAGAACCTCTGATGGCTCCCCCTCTTCCTGAAGAAGAGGCCGAAGAAGAGGCTAAAGATGTGGAAGATACAAAGGAGCCACCAGAAACAGCTGAGTATAGGAGAAGGGTTATAAAGGACAGGTCAATCCCAGTTTTTCACGCTGCTGTCTTTCCACCAAGCAGAAAACCAGCATCCGAATCTCCTCTGGCTCCACTTTTTCCTGAAGGAGAGGCTGAAGAAGAGGAATACAAGGACAACTCTCCACCTGTTGTCAGACCATGGCGTGAATATCCCAAGCCAGTAAGTGCCAGCTTAGGTTAGCACAGTCCTTGGTGCAACGCAGAATTGCAAGTTTCTGGTCAGACAGCACTTGCCGTTCATGGCTTGAAGGCACTGAGGGCTGGAGTCATGCTATGACATAGCGCTTCACTTTACCGCTGTAAAAGTGCGCAGCTCTGTGCACAGTATGGAGGGTCCCCGTCACCAGCAGATAAAGTGGTCCAAAGACACAGGATACGCAGGAGACATTGTTCCCTGGAGGGACCTCCTGCCCCTCTCCACAGAATATCCAAGTCGCCACCGGCACAACTTAGACTACACTCTTAACTTTGACATGACTCAGGTTTGGTGAGAAGAATCTTACACAGCTCTACATCATAGAGAGAAGGTCGGGCTCTGAAGGGCTGGAACGCAGTTCCTAGCAGCCACTCCCTAAAGCCTGAAATACTGAGGGGAAGTCAGTTGAGCAGATCAGAAAAGGCAAATGCCCCCTGCTTCTATTCAGACGCTTACCTTCTAACTCCAGAGTCATTTTGTTACCCCTGTAAAGACCCCCTCATCACAGGTTTTGCTGTCAGGTGAGCTGTGTCTCTGCTTGCTGCTTCTCCCAAATCTCTGGAGCTGTCTTCCCCGCTCCTTATTGCTTGTTTGTGCTCTTTCCCTGCCCACTCCTTGCAGGCCCTGGTAGAAGAGCTTTTGGCCAGCCAGGACTCCTCAGCCCAGGTGAAAAAGGTGGAGTGGCAGGAGAGGATGCACAGACGGCGCAGTGTCTGCGAGCTCCTGTGAGTGTTAAGCTTTCTCACTTTCTCTGGGTAGGGATGGGCAGTGCTGCACTTTGGGAGGCCCATCATCAAACGAATTTTGCACGCTCATCATTTGTAGCACAGAGCAGAGAAGGGAGCACATGGGCGAGTCTGGCTACCTCCTGACACACAGTACAGCTGCCTCCTTGTGCTTGCTCTATGAACCATCAAAAAAATCATTCCATACAGGACCAGAGTGGCTGGGGACAGACGAAAGCTGAAACAAGAGAGATTCAGACTGGGTTAGGGAGAGCAAAGAGTTGAAGGCAATCACGCAGCCGAACTGGTGGCTCAGAGAGGCTGCACAGGTTCCAAGCCTGGACATTTGGAAGACCCAACTGCAGAGAGCCTTGAGCAACCTGCTGGGATCCCATAGCTGACCCCAAGTGCCGTGAGCTAAAGATTGGGCTAGAGGCCTCCTGGGGTCCTGCCAGCTTGAATCATCCCGTCATCCTATGATGATTGGATTGGAAATTCATACGTATCTCCTGCCCGCAGACATTGAGGGCTCTTTTGTCGTTTCACTGCTGAAGGCAAGAGTCATTGTGGGAATACTAACCTGGCCTTACCAAGTCTGTCTTCCCCAAAGAAGACCTTTGAGAAGTCTTGTGTCCAATGTAGCAAAAAGGAGCACAAGACCTAGCAGGCAGGAAGCCGTTGAGAATACCTGAGCTCTTTTGGAAATGGTGTGTGATTTCCAGAAGCTTGTTTTACTTTCTCAATGTCAGTGACAAAGAGTGATGCAGCTCTAGTCAGGAAATCCTTTAGGTGGAACTAGAAGATTGTTGGAAATCACTCAGACTGCCACACTGGGGACATGGTGCGTAGTCTTAGTTTTGGAAATTAGACTGTTTTGCTATTTAAAAGCTTGTTTGTCTTTCCCCTTCTCATAGACTGAAAGCCTTAGCTGCCCTTGAGAGGAAGCACTCCCTATTACAGAGGGAGTTGGGAGCTGTGAGAGAGACACTGGAGCAACCACAGCTTCAGAGGGATCTGCTGAGAGACAGAGAAGAGAAGGAGGAGTTTGGCCTGGAACTGCTGAAGGTATGGTCACCTTCTTCCTAGGCAGCACTTGTGGGAGAGGAAGTTGTGGTAGCAAGACCATCACAGATGGATGGTGTTTGGGGCAGAAGAAGAAGGGGACAGTGTTGTTCTCCTTGGAAAATGGCAATCCAACTACACAGGCTCCCTGGGGTGGTTAGTGTCCATGAGCTTATTGGGAGCACTGAGCTGAGAGTATGTCAGAGACACACTGGGGATGTGAAGTTGCTGCTTGAAGTCAGGGATTTTACTGCCTTTGTTGTCATGCTGTTCTTTGGTCTCCTCAGGCAGAGCAGTCAGTAGCAGAGCTGACAGGGGCTCAGAGTCAGCTGAGCGCAGAAATAGCAGATCTCCATCTTGCAGCAGTGAAGATGGGCGGCATTGGTGGGGCTCTTGCACTGCGTTGTGTGCACCTGAACCAGCGTGTGCTGCAGGTGAGCAGAGCTGCCAAGGGACTTTACAGCTGTTTGTCTACAGCTGCTTCTTCTCCTCAGACCTCTTGCCTTCCAGCAGCATGACTGACTATGGCAATGTTCCTTTTTTTGTGAGAGTCAAACATTCTTCATGGTAAATCTTCCTGTATTTGATTTCCTCTGTGCTTCCAAGTGTAGCTGGAGCAAGAGAAGGAAGTTCCATCAGCTGAAGTGGACAAGACAGAGAGAACAAAGATCCCTATGGCAAAGAAGATGAACTTGCGTGAAAGAGGAAACAAAGGGATCTGTGCAAAGAAGACCTACTTGGAGCAGCTGCTGGAGGAGGCAGAGGAGAAACAGGAGGAGCTGCGGGTGGATCTGCTGATCATGGCTGATGAGAAGGCAGAAATCCAAGAGCAACTCCAGAAAGCAGAGGAGAAACAGGAGGAGCTGCGTGTGGACCTGATCATCATGGCTGACGAGAAGGCAGAACTCCAAGAGCAACTCTGGGAAACAGAGGAGAAGCAGGAGGAGCTGCAGGTGGATCTGATGATGATGGCGGAGGAGAAGGCAGAAATGCAAGAGCAAGTCCATCAGGTGAGACCAAAAAGCTGGTGCATCCAGGTGGGCATCTGGCTGCTTGACTCAGTGAAGTTGTATCTGTTGGACTGGGCAGTGCCCTTGTCAAAGGGCCAGGTGGTAGTGCTGGAGGTCAGAAGGCTTTGTTTACTCCTTTCTGCACACTTGTGGATGGCTTGCAGAGCTGTTCTGTAGTTCTCTGAGTCGTCCTCTGCTTCTACAGAGACTTTCAGCGCACCTGTCAGCATTGGCCTCCTTTTTGGCTTTTGATATGCTGCAAAGAGAAGATTGTGTTGTGCGTGAATCTGCAGGGGGCTACTCTTCGCATGTGTGGCAAAAGAAACTCTGTAGTTCTGATGCCTGTTTCCGAGGCAGAAAACAGGGCTGCTTGTCTCTGCTGATCATTTTTGTTGTGAAGTCTGCAACTTTGCATAGTCCCTTTGCTTGAGCCTAGAGAGAGGGACAAAGCTGCAAGTCCATGGCTGCTGTCTTGTACTGCTCAGAACAGGAAGGACATCTTGAAGTTTTTGAAATTGTATTTTAAGGCATACGTGCAACTTTGTGGCTGGAAAGCTGCCTGGGGAAAAAGGACCTGGGGGTACTGATCAGCAGCTGTCTGACACATGAGGCAGCGTGTGCCCAGGTGGCCAAGAAGGCCAAGGGCATCCTGGCTTGGATCAGCGGTAGTGTGGGAGCGGGACCAGGGCAGTGACTGTCCCCATGTTCTGGGCACTGGTGAGGCCACACCTCAAGTGCTGGGTTCATTTTGGGCCCCCCATGACCAAAAGACATTGAGGTGCTGGAGTGTGTCCAGAGAAGGGTGTTCAGCCTGGAGAGAAGGAAGCTCAGGAGAGACCTTCAGCCAGACTTCAATAAATCACTAAATGACAGGGCTCACCACACGGGCCGTTTTCCTGCCAAGCACTCCCTCATTGCATGCAACTGCTTTACACACTGAAGTAGGTGACACTTTCATCTTTTTTTACTGGGTTTTTTTTTTTCCCAGAAGGAGAAGCCCTGCTTATCGTCACTTTCTTCAGCAAGCAAAGTTGCTTTTGCTCAACCTTTCTGGCAAATTTCTGGCACCAAAATAGATTTTGTTTGAATTTTAGTTTGCAAGGAGGCAGTTCTGGAAGATGTAGTAGTTTTGCATGAAAACACCTAGTGTTGGGGTGTTTTAGGGACATTTGTCATGAAGGAGTTCTTCTAGTGCCAGGCAAGCCTGTAGGGCCTTACACATCCCTTTCCAGTTAACTGTTCCTTTTGGCGGCCCAGGGGACTCTCTGCTGAGAATGGGAATTCAGCAGAAAATCAAGCCCTCTGTGTTCCAACTGGTCCTGGGGATCAGGGGGCTGGGTGCAGCTGGGCTTGATTTCTCTTTATAGCCAGTTTAACACTGTGAGTCGGGTCGAGTTCAAAAGAAGAACTTGCGCGAGCACAGAGGCACAAACACTGCACTTACCAATCCAGTACTATAGGAGGGAGGCCTTCAGCGGCAAGGCCAGACACTCAAGAAACGCCACACCCTTCCTGTTAGCCACCTAAGAGTTTGTTGGAGATTCATTCCCACATGGACCATGTTTATGCTGCCATTCTCACTTAGGAATCTGTGCCTCCCATGACAGCAGCAGCACAGTGCTTTGGGAATGCGTGAGCCCATCAGTCTTTGAGTCTTGCCACACAAATGTTGTATGGGACATTTAAACCTGCCTTCTCTTCGTTTCTGTGCAGGTCCTGCTAGAAAAGGAGCGTGAGAACATTAATTTATTACACATGCTCCTGCAGACTCAGGAAGAGCTATTCCAAACACGGCAGCAGCTAGAGCAGCTCAGGCAGGAGGTGGGAGAGCGTCGAGAGAATGGGCAGCTACACCTGACTAGCCAGGTAATAGAGTGAGAGGCAGTAACAAGGGCATAAAATGTAGGTCTTGGGACTGTGGAGGCAAGGACTGCTGCAGGCACTGAGAGCACAGAGCGTGGCAGGCTCCGGAGATCAGCACCAGGAAGCAAGGGTTAAAATGGAAGCAGAGCAGGGCTGGTCCCTTGGCCTGTTGGCCAGCAATCATCCCAATGGATTTCTGCTGGTTTGCTACTGCTAGCCTTGTTTTTTGAGGTGTTTTTTTCCAGTCAAGAGGGCGACTCACCTAGAATTTGAAACCGGCTTGCCCATATCCATTGCGAATCTGGGCCTCATGATGGGGTGAAATTGTAGATTGGTCTTTCTCTTTCCTTTCAGTCTCTGCTATGGCTGACAGTGAGAAGCTGCGGTCTCTGACTGCTTTGTTCTGTTTGACTCGAGGTGGAAGAGTCGACATCTCAGCCAGCGGCCTCCAAAGACCTGAGTTTAGCTTGGTTGGCTAGAGCACAATGTCAGTGAGGCCAGGGTTGTGGGTCTGAGGGCCGTAGGGGCCGTTCATTTATGCATTGGACGCGATGATCCATGTGGGTCCTTTCCAATCCAGAATATTTTGTGAGTCGCAGCAACAGATTGGCTGCAAAGCTGAGCACGATCTGAATGAGGCATGGGAACTGTTAAGTCAGAGTGTGCTGGAGGTTGAGCAATTGCATAAGATTGTGCAGGAAAAGAAAAGTCAGTGGGAGGGAGCAGCAATCAGAACAAGGAGCTACAAGTGTGTCTGCAGTCCTTGGAGGGCGAAAAGAAGTCTCTGGGAAGAAATGGAGCAGTCATCGTTGCAGTAATTTTTCAGAAAAATCTGTGAAAATGTAACATGAAACTGGCCATGACCTTGTGTAAAATCAGCCTCTTAGTTTTGCCCATTCAGTTTGAGAAGTGGACACCAAAAAAACCCCAACCAGTTAAGAGCATCTTCCTAAGGGCTTGCATTTGAAATATCATCTCAAGGCATCTCTGCTGCAGACTCTGACACAAACTCATTTCTTGTCGCAGATCTACACAGGTTCTGCCATCGAAGCTGCTGCTGCAGCAGCATTGCCTGAAGAAGCCTCCACTCCCCATCCTGAAAACCCAGGCACAGACAGCTTGTTCAGCAGCACAGACTGGGGGCCAGAGATGACAGAGGAGAAGAGCCTAAAGCAACTGAGTATGTCTGCTGTATTTCTTGTCCCATGGAGCAGTGTATTGTGGGCAGGTCTCAGCATGAGCTGTACCAAAGGCTCCTCCTCAGCTGAGTGTCACAGAGGCTCTTACACCTCCCCACAGAAACTGCTGTTGTGCTTTAAGGCAGCCAGAGAGCACTTGGGGTGTTCCTCCTGCCCCTGAGGGCAGCTCAGACTGGGTTGAGTTTGCCTGAGCATCCCTCTAGGCTGAAGGCAAAAGCAGGGAATATTCCCGGGTAAGCAGAATGTTCCCGGGTGAGCAGAATGTTCCCAGGTGAGCGAATGCCCTAAGGAATTCCTGCGTGTGTGTGAGGTCAAACGGAACAGAATAGCTGGCTTCCTAAATTCTCTTTAGACTCCTGAGAGGAGTCCCTTCAGTTGGGAAAAAAGTGGGTTGATCTGCACCTCCTGGGGTCTGGTCACAAAGCCAAGAAGGTTCTGTCTTGCAGTGGGGTAATGGCTTGTAACGGGGCTCAGACTGGCTGTGGCCTTACCAGTCCTTTGGTTGTACCTGCCCGGCCACTGCTGGCTGGTGTGAGTGCAGAGGCTGGAGCCTTCCTTAGCTCTGAGATTTCAGCTGCTGCCCCACCGCTGCAGTGTGGAGCTGCCAGAAGACAGCAGCCTCTGGTCTGGTCTGGCTTCTGCCTGGATTCGGAAAAGGATCAGCATCTCATTGAGGCAGCAGTCTGCGTCAGGCCAGCGCTTGAGGAGCACTTCTGCCCTTGGGACCTGCCACGGTCCACAGGGAAAAGGGAAATGGGACCGAGCACTGCAATAAGGGTTCTTAGCACAGTCGAGGGTTTGTGCAGCAATGCCACTTCATTTAGGGAGAACAGGGGTTTAAATAAGGTAAGTCTGAGGGGAGGACCCCAAACTGGGGAGGAGCAAGAGACAGACAACTCAGGGGAAAGTGTGATAGGGAGACAGGGAAAAGGTGGGTGGAACTCCTGGGTCTCCAGGGGCGTGGGCCAATGGTAGCTCTCTCTGCACTGCAGCAAACTGTAGCCAATCAGTGGCAGAGGAGCGGGAAAGCAGGGGACAACAGGGTGACAAACAACTTTTGGAGGGAAAATCTGAGGGAGAAATGTGGACAAGATGGAGGTATAACAAGCTTCATAAAATTTAACAATAAACTGGGGTACATAAAACTTCATAAACACACAACAATAAACTGGGGAAAACTGTCAGTCCAGTAGATGAATTATCCGGTAGGTGGCAAGTTCATTTAGTTTCCATATATGCTTCTCCAGGCAACATATCTTTCCCATTCTGTTTTTTCATCCGCCACAGGGACCCATCCCTGCTGTTCTTTAAAACGTAAAGACATTCTTTTCACCAACTGCTGAAAGGTGGAGAAGATGCCCTCCTCTCCTGGAAAACACTTTGTAACATTCTTCCTACTCTGCAATTGCATCTCTTCATAACAATTCATGCCAGATGCCAAGGTGCATTTAATCTTTGGCAGTATTAAACCTTTTGCTGAATCCCCCACAGTGTTCATTCCCAAGAAAAGAAGGGTTCTGTTGTTCCAGATGTCTCCTTATGGCTTATAGATGACAAACACTTGCCTTGGTACCTGTTCTCTTCTGATCTCTGTCTGCTCTGACTATATCTCCCTGTGCTTACTTTCTTGTCAAGGTAACCCTTCAAGGGACTGTAGAAAATCAGACTTTTTGCAGGGCATCTCTGGTACGGAGCTGCCTGTCTTGTTGTTGTTGTTGTTGTTGTTGTTGTTACCCAACTGACCACAAAAGGCTCCCAGCCCCTCCAGACAGTGGGGCTGCATTTTGGATCTGCTGGAAGTTGGTTTTGATGCTGTTTTGAATTGAGCATCTTGAATTTTGTTTCTTTCAGAGGGCATTGTAAGCGTCGGAGATCCAGTGAAGAAATACGCTGGATGGGAAAACATTGCCCAAGGGTGAGTGCAACCACAGTTACTTCTACCAAACCATGGGCCAGGTATTTTGCTGGTGTAATATCAAGCATGAAGTCAGGCAGGCTCTGAGAATGTTCAGACACTGGGTTCAGTCTGTCCCGTCTCTCAGTGCAGGTCAGACTTTATAACTGTGGCTTGAAGGCATCGTCAAAGACAACTCCCTGCTGGCAATGCCTTGCCAGCAGCAAGGAGCAGAATGTGGAAGACCTCCTGTCCCTCAAGTGTGTGACACCTATTTGCCTGTTTTCTTAGGAGAAATCCTTTTTGTATGTCTCAAAATAATACGACCATGCTAATGAAAGGAGAAGAAACTTTATTGCCCAAATGAGCAACTTAGCACATGATAGCTGTCAGATAACAGTTCTCAGTAATACTTCTTTCTGATATTTTGCTGAAAACAATATTCAAGGGTCAGGATTATAATCACATATCTTAGAAACTGAAACCAGGATGAAAAAATGAACTCTCTTTCCTACTTGAGGCAATAAATCCCAAAAATGCAGGAATGGACAGACAACCAATGCACTTGAGATGAAAACACATCATCTGCCCAATGGCAGACCTCTTGTGGATCCTGCAGTTTTTAGGGGTTCATGGAAAACAATCACCCTTTTTTTAACCCAGCTTTGCTTAGTGAATGTCAGGAGGCAAGAGCCAAAGAAATTACCTCCAGAGGAGGGTCCTTAAGGTGCCTGGTGCACCTAAAAAAAGCTGCTACCAAGGGCTCTTGACAGAGAGGGAAGCTGCCTAAGGATCCTCTGTTTTGAGTCCTTCTCCACTTGTGTGTGGAACAATGGTGCTTTAACCTGTTCTAGCTGTGCCATCTCACAGGATGGCTGGAGACTGGTTTTCTTGCATGCTGGAGAAAGCTGTGTTTAGATCCTTTCCTCAAACAGCTCTCACATGTGTTCAGGCTTCTCAGAATGACGGTGTGGTGTTGCCTGAGTTTGGCACATAGGTTCAAAAGAGCAGAGTGAGAAAGCCCAACAGGACTATACGTAGCTTGGGAAAAAACACCTACATGGACAGACACAGAAAGGAAAAAGAGAAAGAAAACCTGTGATAGGTTTCACCCTAGGCCTTCCTGGAGACCAGCTTGTAACCAGGAAGGAACTAGGGAGGTGACCAAGGAAGTATTCTGTGCTATTCCTTTGTGTAACCTGAGGTATAAATAAAGCCAACCGGAGAGACTTCGCTCTCTTCTCTTCCGGTGAGGTTCGAGAACAGTGGATCCCTACGTGGTCTTGCTTATCTGAAGCTGAGGCCTGTATCGACTGCTGTTGACTGCCACACGTGAGGGGTGGGTGCTAGGCCACGTCCAGCTGTCCTGCTTCTCTTAAGGGAAGTAGTGAGATTGTGCCAGTTCTTTATTTTGCTGGTTACTAGATTTTCAGATTGTGCATACCTGTTTTGTTTCTGTCCCTTTGCATCCTTTTCGTTGTCCTTTTTCCCTTCTCCCTTCCCCTCTTCCCTTTTAGGAAGCTATTTGGTGTTTCCGGGATTATAGGTATATAGTATTCTCACTATATATCTGTATTATGTGTAAAATATATATATTTTGCTATACTTTGGCTGTTTGGTTTTTTTTCTTCCCTCTCTGGGAAGCAGGCTCTGTTGTCAAGTTTTGGAGACTTGGCGGGAAGCCAGCTTGAAACTTGTACAAAACCCCCAGATCATTCAGGTGTGGATTTGAGATTGGCACCAGCCCTTTTTCTTCCTGTTGGACCTAAGTTTTTTCTCTTGGACACCTTGCATGGCAGAGGGCTGCTGTGTTGCTGGCTGAAGAGTAGATGAAACCAGGTGTTTTATAAAGCCAGTCCTGTTTGGGCTGGCTTCCGCTCCTAGGGGCTAAAGTGTTTCACCTTTCTTTGGTGCTGTTCTGTTTCTAGGGGGTTTGGAACCGTTTATAAAGCCCTTGACACTGCCACAGGAGGACAGGTGAGTGTCAACAACCCCCACTGATTTTGCAGCTCTCCAGTTCTTTCCTCTCTGGTGTGAGCTGTTGCTGGAGCTTTGGGTCACTGGTAGATCTTTTCTCCAAAGGCAAAAGAAGCGCAGACTGGTGTCAGCCTGCCCAATGCATTTGGGACAGACTTTGTCCTTCTGAACTACCAGAAAGAATGCAAGGAGGGCAGTGGCATCTTTCAGAGAAGGATGCTCTGGCTCGGTCTTAATTGCTAAATAGGCATTGACCAGCTGATGGCGACTGCCATCACTCAGGCCCAGTTTCTCCTAATCCCAGCTTCAGACACAGATAGGATTTAGCATTTTTTCCCATTGATTTTCTTCACCAAAGTGCAATGCAACAGCTAATGGAAGAGATATCATGTTTGGAACACAGTTATGTGTTTCAGACCTAGCGAAGCTGGTTGACACAAGCTCAGGACTAAGGAGATGTTTATCAAGAGCAAAGACCTCTCCTAAGCAAAATGTCTATGGTCATGTCTTTGTGACTGGCAGCCAAGGGAGCAGAGAAATAAGCTGTTGCAATGTCAGTTCCTAAGTACTCTGATGTCAAACCCCAAGGCAGTTTGGCACAGCTCAGTTGTGTCATTCCAAAATCACGCACTCCATGTTCGTTGAGGTCTTGTGCAACAGACTGCTCCAGTCAATGGTTTCCAATGCCATTTTAGGTGGCCATAAAGAAAATCAATCTCCTACAACAGAGCACCAGGGAACTGTTGAAAGAGATCCGCATCATGAGGGACAAGAAGAACCCCAATATTGTTACCTATTTAGACAGGTAAGTAGTTCTGGTATTATCATGTGAATGTTCATTCACCTACTTGCAAGGCAAAGACTAAAAAGCCCTCTACTCCTGGTCAGAAAATTTATCTTTTTCTCCTTATTAATCTACTCATATACAATATATGGGAGGATGTTGCGTTTTGTCTGTATTAGTCTTTCCTGGCACACATAGTTTGAAGAGTGTTTTCAAAAACCTGGATCAGCCCTCTCTTATGAACTCAACAGCCTGTCAGTTCACTCTCTCCACGCTGTTTTGTTGTTTTGGGCTTTGATCTGTTTCAGGTGTCTTATGATATACATGCTGATAAACCATCCTAGAAATTATTTCCCTTGGACTGTTGCCACTATTTTCCATTGCTGTGGGTGCCAAAACCTAGGTTTTTGTTCCCGGAAACACATAATTTGCCAGTTTAAAATCTGGTTTTTTCTTTTGGTGAGTGTACTTTATGCAAGGTTTTCCAAAGGGTTGACCAAATTCTGTCCTCAGTGGTGCACACACTGCTCACCTGACAAAAGTAGTGAAAGTTGTGTCTCCTTGTTCCTGGAGTTCATGGTGGAATTTATGTGTTAAAATGATGACCCAGCTGATGGGATGTGACCCGGTTCCAGATTTATCTTTGCCGTTACTAAACTGCCTTTTTCCTTTGCTTACCATTTAAGGATGTGCCTTTCTCACTTAGGCTGCACAGACTGCAAGCGCTGCATAGCCTAGATGGAATGTGTCTCCATTTTAATCTGTCTTCATTTAGAAGCAGCGTGGAAAGCAAACTCAACTGTGGTCTTTTCCACAAGCCAATTTAGCTGTGCACATGCATTTCCACGCCCTTGTTTTCTTCTTTCAGCTATCTTGTCGGTACGGAACTCTGGCTGGTGATGGAGTACATGGATGGACACTCTTTGACTGATGTCATTACCGAGACCAGGATGGGTGAAAAACAGATAGCAGCTGTGTGTAAGGAGGTAAGGGATCCCTCTGGTGCTTCTGATGGCTTGGGCAGGATTGTCTTTTGAGACAGGTGGTAAGAGCAGGAGTGATTTCATACTCAGTTCTTTGCTTCTGTGGTGCTGTTATGACATGGAGAAGAAAGAGCATCTGAAATGAACTGCCTGCCAGTGTGCCTGCACTTACACTACTTTGTTCTTACTCTGTGTCACATTTTCTGTTATGATCCTGTTGTGATACATTCTCTCTCTCTTTTTTCCTTTTATTTGCTGTTCTCCATTTTGCCTCTCTAAACATCTGCCTGGAGCCTGTCTGCATTGCCTTCCTTGCCTGTAAAAGCAAACATGCCGGTGACAGAATGTTAAACTTATGGCAAAGAAAAATAGAGACTCATTTTTCACAGTCGTCAGCTTACAAAGATAGCATTGCACCCAAAATGGGGTTTGCTTCTGAAAACTGACTAATGAGCTACTTCCAAGTCTGCTGTGGAGGCCAGCAATAGAAATCTTTGTCATGCAGCCACCTGCTCAAAAGAGATCCACTTCCTACCATTTTTGGCAAACTCCCGTTTGTTCTCTGGATGGAGAGAGAGCACATGCACTGCAGCAGCAGTCATTCTGGCTGGGTTTGCAGGGCACAGTCTGTAACAGCAATTGCCCTTTCTCTTTCAAAAGCTGATCTGCCTTGACTTAGAAGGGTATTGCTCTACTAGGGTTGGAGCAACAAGCTCTTCCTCAGGACAATACCATGTTGTGGCATTCCTGACCATTCCCCCAGAAGTTAAATCTTTGAGAGCAGTTTCCTTTCTTGTGTGACGAAATCAGATTTTTACCCTCCTGTTTCTTTTTTCCCCCTCAGTGCCTGCAAGGACTGGCTTTCCTTCACTCCAACCAGGTGATCCACAGAGACATCAAAAGCGACAACATACTCCTGGGCCTGGACGGATCTGTCAAGCTGGGTAGGTATTCTTGGTCAGCTGCAGCATTTCCAGGATATGCTGTGAGGGCTGCTTTTGAGGTACTCCCAGTTGTCCAGAAGTGGTGCTTGTGGGAGTGCAAGGACCCCTGCTGCCAGCTGAGAGCACAATTGCAACGTGCAGAGAGGTACCGTAAGAAACAGGTCAAGAGTGGGTTTGTTTTGTGTGTGTCCCTTCCAGAGGAAGGGAGTTACACTCTAAAACCTCAGTGAATAACTAAAATTCACTGCATGAACCCTGGAGGTTTTGTTAAGTGGCCAATTCCATATTTCCTTGGCCGCATCCCTAAGGAAACAGAGCACGGCCACTTTTCCAGCTCGAGTCAAGAGTGCATTCTCAGTCTTAGACTGGGGAATCCTTTTGCCTGGTTTCCTAACTGAAGCTGGCTTTAACAGTGTTCGTTTTTCTCCTCAGCTGATTTTGGCCTTTGTGCTCAGCTCACCGCTGAGCAGAGTAAACGGAGCTCGATGGTCGGGACTGTTCAATGGATGGCACCAGAGGTTGTGAGATGCCAACCATATGGCCCCAAAGTGGACATCTGGTCACTTGGCATCGTAGGAATAGAAATGGTGGAAGGAGAACCTCCTTACTTTCAGGAGACCGCTTTCATGGTAAGGTGCTACCAGCGCCTCGCAGCTACCAGTGTCTTTCTATTCTGTCCCATGTTCTGTCTCTCATGAGACAAAATCCCATTCCCACCAGCCTGAACCAGTTCCAGCAAGATCCACTTCTAAAAATGTCTGTGGAGCACATCATCATCTGCTATACCTTTGGTTCCATCCACGGGAGAACATCAGATGAGAAGTGGCACGTAGCCAGTTCAGAATGGGCTATCTTGGCCTTCAGCAATGCTTGGAATTTCACATGTTATTTTTGAACTCTCTTTGAACTCCATCTCTGAATGACAACAATTTCTCATCAGCAAGTTCAGAGGTGTGATCAATACCCTTTGAGAGGCAGTTTGAATCATAGAATTGTAGAATAAGCTGAGCTGGAAAAGACCCATCAGGATCATAAAGTCCAACTCCTGGCCCTGTGTCGGACACCCCAGGAATCACACCATGTATTGCCCAAACACTTCTTGAACTCTGTCAGGCCTGGTGCTGTGAGCACTTCCCTGGGGAGCCTGTTCCAACACCCAATCACCCTCTGGTGAAAATCGTTTTCTGATATCCAACTCAAACCTCTGCTGACTCAGCTTCATGCCGTTTCCTTGAGTCCTGTCACTGGTCGCCAAAGAGAAGAGCTGTGGCTGCATTTGGGTTTTTTTGTTCTGGTAGAGAAAGTTCATCTCTAACCCTCTGCCAGAGAAGAAACTGCCAGTGGACATTGGAGCTTAAAAAGTGGGGTCTAGGGGAGCAGCTATGGAGCTGGAAGAAACAGGTGGAGCCTCATGTTTCCTTTTTCTTCAGGCTCGCCACCTGATAGCCACACGAGGGACACCAAAGCTGCAGAACTCCTGGCTACACTCCTTCCTCTTGTGTCACTTTCTGGACTGCTGCCTGCAGACGGATGAGGACAAGCGAGACTCTGCCGAGGAACTCCTGCAGGTAGAGTGCGGAGCAGCTGTGGGCAAAACCAGCTGCCTGATGTCAGGGTTTGCTCCTCAGTTAAACTTCGAGGCATCAGGTGGCTTCCCTCATATCAATCTCCAGTCTTGGTGCTTTTCAAATGAAAATTAAAGAGGATCCTAGACCAGTTTGGGTTGGAAAGGACCCGTGAAAGTCATCTATTCCAAACCCCCTCCCATGAGCAAGGACATCTTCAAGTAGATCAGGTTGCTCCCAGCCCTCCTCTGACCTGACCTTGAATGTTTCCAGAGATGGGGCACCTACAGAAACTCTGTGCCAGTGTTTCACCACCTTCCTCATAAAAAATTTCTTCCTTAGATCCAATTGGAATCATCCCTCTTTTAGTTTAAAACCATTTCCCCAGAGCAACTGGCCCTGCTAAAAACTGTGTCCCCATCTTTCTTATAAGCCCCTATGCAGTATTGAAAGGTGGCCATAAGGTTTCCTCAGGGCCTGCTCTTCTCCAGGCTGAACAGGCCCAGCTCTCTTGGCCTTTCCTCATGGGAGTAGTGCTTCATCCTCTGACTGTTTTGTACTTTGGTAGTGTGTTCAGTTTTATCTGATTCTGTGGAAGCAGAAGGATGTTGGGTGCGGAGGCCTGAAATGGTGGTGGAGGAACCCAATGAAACCAGTGCCAGCCAAGCAGTCAGAGATTTGGCTGTGGGAAGGAAGGGGCTGTGGGGGGCTCACTGTGAGCCTCAGAGGAGCCCCAGCTTGTCCCTGCTGCCCAACTCTTAGAGGTTTCTGCCACCAAGCCCCACTTGTAGAGGTTTCTGACGCCAAAACAGGGACAGCTGAGCGGAACTTATCCCAGTCCCATTTGCTGCCTGTCACAGTTGAGTAGATGAGAACTGCTGCAGGGTTACTGCCATGTTGTGTGGCACATAGGGAGCTGCAGAATGTGCCTCTTGGCTGTCCCTGCTGGGAAGAAAGATGCCAGCCAGCACAGGAGGGGCAGGGGATGGAAAGGTAGACACTGTTCTCCCTGCAAAGGAGAGCTGAGTTCGTCAGTGCTCCGCCATGACTTGCTGCTAAAAACCTGGGCCTCAGTGGTCTTCAGAAGAACACGTGGACCTAAATCCTACAGGGATCAGCATTTCTTAGAGGTGTTAGAGTTTCCTGAGGAAAGGAACCAAGCCCTGGGACAGCAAGCAGTATTCCCACAGCATTGTCAGGGCAAAAATCCCAGCAAGCTGAAGATATCCTGATGAACGGATTAGCGGGATTATGGTCCCTGTTTGCCTGGGAAGGCAGGGTCCTAAACATGAAGATGGAGGTGCAGATGGACCACTCAGTTCCATTTCTCTGTATTTCTGGGAGTCAGAGCAATCCTGCTTGAGCCTGTGAGGAGCTGGGTTTGGAAAGTAATGGTTCTTTTCTTCTTTTCTTTTCTTTTCTTTTCTTTCTCTTGGGGCAGCATCCATTTTTAAAATCGGCCGCGCCTCTCTCCCATCTGGCGTCTCTGATCATGGCAGTGAAGCAGTGGAGGAAGTAAAGGAGATGAGAAGGACCACTTCAGGACAGCTTTCATCTTCTCTGATTGGACTCTGAATAAAAACTATGAAATTCCAACTCGATTGGCAGATTCCCTTCCTTACCACCCTGTGAATAAGCTCTACATTCACTTCTGAATTGTCCATCGTTTCTTAAAGACGGAAAGTCCTGTTTCTGTCCATCACAGGTAGGTCTCTAGGGCTCACTGATGCATCCAGGGAAGGTCCCAGAGGTTTGTCACAGGCCCCAAATGTTTCTTTGAGTTATCATAGCACAGCAGCAGCCAGGTGATGCGTGCACAGCAGCTTTTCTGCTTGGCTTTTCCCACTGTTTTTCCCTGAATCCTAAATTTTGGCTCAAGGTTGAGTATCCCCATTGCAAATGTAGAGGCTGGGGAGACATTCATCCCACCTGTGTTTGTATGAGACTTGAATAGCGTTTGTGTTGTCAATACCTGAGGGATCCGTCCTCTGCATTGGGCAGTGCCTGTGTCCCGTGTACGGCAGGGAGTGCCCTTGGAGTGGCCGTCACAGTGTGGGTGCACCATGGGTGCATCTGCCCCTTCTCCCCTTTGACCACCTTTCCTACAGCCTCCCAAGTCAGACCTTCATAAAAAAGTTCTCCGTCCAGCACTGGGCTCCTGGTGCCTTTGAACAACACATTCCCTTTGGCTTGTGGGAAACCTGCAGGATCAGATCCCACGGTGGATGTGGAGTTTAAATCTCTGTCCTGCCCATTGCGGATATGTACCTGGAGGTAGAACATTGTTATGTCATTTGCTGCACTCTAATCTCCAGCCTGGAGAAGGTGAGTAAATTTCTGAGCTAACTTGATCTTTTATTTTCTGGCCTGCGTATCTCACAGAACTGCAAGCTCCCTTTTTACTGAGGATGGTTACGAGCACCAAAAAGAGGGATGGAATGGAACAAGGTACAGATGTCTGCTGGCAACACAGATGTCTGCAGCCAAGAGCAAACAGTCCAGGAGGTTCTACACTGTTGGTAGAAAGTCCAATTTGTACGGAATTCTTCTCTGTCATTTGATTCTAGATTTCACCATAAAGTGCCACAGAAAAGAGGAAACAGATCCCAGCGCTGTGAGTGACAGGAGGAGGCAGCAGCAGAAGAGTTCAGCTCATGGATACAGGAGCCCTGCTTCTGCGCCTGGAAGCAGAGGTAGGTGAGTGCTTGAGGGGGACAGAGGCCTGCCAAGCAGGACCTCGCATTTGTATAACAGGAAAATACAGCTCTGTGAGGGACTGAGACGTTAATGGACAATGGCTCAAACAATAGACGATTTGCGAAAGCAGTCCGGGTGCAGAGAGCGTGAGCACCAGAGGAGGACCACCAAATGAGCCTTTGTTTGGCAAGAAGCTGTGTTTTGAGCCTGACAAGGGAAGAACTAACAAGAAACAGATCCTGCAGAGGCGGGATAGTGCTTTTTATCATGCCAATGTCCTCTCTTACATAACATGTTTAGGTGTGAAAACTCCCCCTGGGGAAGTACCAGGACATTCACACGTAGGTCTGACCTTATTCATTGCTTCTGATGGGGAAAAATTGGCTCAACTGCACTGACTTAAGAAGCAGCTGTTCTGTCATAAACCAGCAAAGATCTTCAAGTGTCCTGTGATCCACAGTCTTACATCATACAGGGAGGTACCCAGGCACTCCCACCTGGTCTGAGCATATGTTAACCTAATGAATTATGTGTTTCGTGGGCTTCCTCTGCCCCTGAGGGACCAAGACTGTGGCTGTCACTTCAACCCACGGACATCAAAATTGCAACAGCCAAGTCTCATTGCTGGATCCATGGGTGGTAATATCTTTCTATCTTTATAATTTTTTCCTCTTTCTTTCTCTCATTCTTCTCCTAAATTCTTGTTCTCAAAATATATTGTAAGCCAGACTAAAAATTTCCAGTTGATGCCTTATTAAGTGCCTTATTGTTTCTGGATAAATTAAAATTGGTTAAGTTTAAGTTTGCTAAGTTAATGAAGTACCTCACTTAGTCTGGATGTCGCTTTAAAATTTGCCAAGTGCCTTATTCTGCCTTAATAAGTTATGAAGTTTACAAGTAAAAGTTTGTTATTGAACATCCTATGAATTTGGTTGTTTCTCCTGCACACCACCCAGAGTGAATCAAACAATCTTGCCCTAAACCCAGTGAGCAGACTGGGACATAACAAGCTCTTAAATCCTTCTCCTCTCTAATTTCTGTGTGTGTATAAGATGTACTTGGACTATGAATAGCTTTGCTTTCTGCAATAACAGAATATCAGGGCCCTTTCAGACCATAAATTCCTTAATATAAAAATACGCAAGAAAATAGGTAGTACCCTCCGCAACCATTGCTGGTACTTTGGGTTTTTTTGTCTGAACAAGTGGATTTTATTGAACAGATACAAGACTGACTTAACCGCAATTATCAATATGGCTTGTATTGCTTCACTGGCTGGTAAAGATAAAGTAAACATACACAGAAAGCCTAGACAGAATAGTCCAAAGATATATTTTCTCTTTGCTGTATCTGTAACTGAGTGGTCTTGGCATCTCACATGTCTAATAGCCATGAACTTAAAATTCTGGTGAATTGAAACTTCTGTTGAACTGATAAACAGTTCTTCCTGCTGGGTGCTCTACACAGCAGGTCTGAATTTCCCTTGTTTACCCAGTAAGGGTCAGATGGAAGATTATGGGCCTAACCTGGATGTCAGACCAAATCCAAAGCGAAGTCTTTCAGCTCATCAAACTCCAAGAAATTTAACACTTTATCTGCCACCTAGGAAATCAAGTTACATATTCTTGGAATAAACTGCTTTTCCATGTCTTAGAATCATGGAATCAATTAGGTTGGAAGAGACCCTTAATATCGTCAAGTCTAACCCTTAACCCAGCACTGCCAACCCACCACTAAATCATGTCCGCAAGTGCTCTGTGTCTATCTGCACATCTTTCAAATCCCTCCACAGATGGTGACTGCACCACTGCCTTGAGTAACTTGTCCCAGGACTTGACAACCCCTTTCAGTGAAGATGTTTTTCCTAGTATTCAATCTAAACATTTTCTAGTGCAACTTGAGGCCATTTCCTCTTGTCCTGTCACATATTACTTGGGAGAAGAGACCAACCCCCACCTCATAAGGTTCCCCTGAGCCTCCTTTTCTCCAGGCTGAGCCCCCTCAGGTCCCTCAGCTGCTCTAGACTCTTTCCCAGCTCCATTGCCCTTCTTGAACATGTTCCAACACCTCAATGTCTTCCTTGCTGTGAGGGGACAAAAACTGAACATCAGTGAACATCAGTGTCCTGATGATCACTGCTGTGGTACTGCCGGGCACACTATTCCTGACCCAAGCCAGGATGCCATTGGCCTTCTTGGCACCTGGGCACACACTGACTCATTTTCAGCCAGCGTGAACCAGCACCCCCAGGTCCTTTTCTCCTGGGACCTTTCCAGGCAGTCCAAACCACCGAAGTCCAAACTTTTATTCTGAAACAACAGAGACTGAAGAAAGGACTCAAAATTCTTAGTTCAAATTAATGGAGAAAGAAATAACATGTTTGATTTAAAGGTTTCTACTTGCTCTTATTCTCAAACATTCCTTTCTCAGATGGAAATACATTTCTTGTCATACATCAAAAATCTTGGTGTTTTTCACATGTTCTTAACTAAATAAACTCCTAAAAACCTCATGTGTTATATACTGTTCTATATGGTCATAAAATGTACAATAAAGCACATGTGTTATAAAAAACATTCAGATCTTCCACCACGTTCCTTAATTTTTATACAGTGTGGAAAAGAAGCTTGATAAAGATCTGAAAGCTTAGCTTTCTGTGGGTGAAACAGTGATGTCATATAGACAGAAAGTATGGTATTATACTGTTTGAAAATATGAAGCCTTCTACTACCTAAAAAATATGGTAAAATGGGAAGTATTAAATATTGATATAAAAATATAAGTTATACAACTTCAAGAACTAGGGATTTTAAAACATAATGGTATTTTATAATATTGTTCTTAAATGAAAGCATAGAAAAGAGTCATAGGCCTGATGGAAATGGTTTTACGATATTTTGACAAAAGCAGAAGAAAGAAATAACTAGGGAGTTTACAAAACTGTTAAAAGAAAATAAATTGCTTTAAGATTCAAGAATAAAAAAATATTTATGGTTGAATACTAAGCATTTGCTTTAATGGTACAGTTGGTGTATTTTTTTATCATCTTTGATGATAATTTTTGTTCATCTTTGAAAAACAAATTTTGGTTTAGTCCTTAATCCATCAAAGAACTTAATGCACTCAGGTTATTCTAATGCCTAGAATTTAGCAGGATCGGGGCTTTCATTGTTTTAAAAACGTAGATCTATTCTTTTATAATCTAACCTATGTTTTACAAGACAGTTATTTTCCCCTTTTCATAAATTTCCCAGATATGAGTTTTATGAATTGTCTTGTTTGCATATCATATCACATATATATTACTGTGTCGTAATTTAGTTTCTTGGCTGGATTTTATGCATTACTTTGTAATCTGGAGAATTAACTTTTTAAAACATGGAATTCCCCTTCCTAGTAGTTGGTGAATTTTAAAGTTATTTTCAGAGGCAAAAAAACCAGTGTTCTCCAAATGCCCTGTAGATAAGATGCAAAAGTTTATGTGTCTGGATTAAATAACACTATGGCTATACAAGTAAAACACTGTGTTTTGTCTCCTGCCAAGAAATGTCCTAAAATTACTTCTCTGCACTCTACACAATTTTCAAAGAACTTTTAAATCCAAGGTGGTTTATTACCAAGTTAGAGAACACATACTTTCAAAGCGGCAAACAAAGTCTCAGAGACAATCATTCAGGGACTTTTACTGACATAGTTCTCAAAATTTTAACTTTTTATGCTATTTAAAAATTAGCATGAGTTCAACCAGAATAATTAACATGTAGACAAGTAGAAGAAATATTGTGCTGTGAGTTCTCTGTTATTTTAAACAGCTATTTTTAC